AACGTGCGCACTTAACCGCCTGCGCCACCGGGCTGGCCCCAAAAGTTTTTTTGATACCATATTGGAGTGATTTAAAAATGAAAGAACTTGTAAATGGTGATATTCAAGAATAATTTAATAGACTGAAATTGTGTTTTAAATGCACGATAGTATTTTTCTTAGATTAACTCTAGACACAAATAAGATATTAGCATTGGGAATGGTTGAATATGAGTTGAGAAGCTTATTTAAATGTATCTGTGTCAGCTATACAGTTATTGGGGTGCACTATTGGTTTAAGAATGTATTTTGGGCTATTAGATATTAATACCTAAATGTCATCAAGGTTGACTTGTTTATATGTAAATGAGCCTTTGTATTTTACATTTAGATAAAGACCAAAAATCATTTGTAAAATAATTCTATCTTGGCTTTTATCATTACCTAACAACACATTCATGACGGAGTTCAAAGGTACAAGTTTGTTTTAGGTAACAGAGGTTAAATATTAGTTTAAAATTTTATACAGATTGTTGAAAACCCATATACTTTAATATGAAGTTTAATATTTTGTTTGGATGACCTGAATAGCATTCATGTCATAACTTTCACAGAAGTGGAAACGTTACATGGACCTATCACTCCGGTGCATTTCATCATCTTCTGGATTGCCAAAGGCGAAGAAGCCAGAGTAGATCTTTACTAATTGCCTAGTACATTTATCTTAACATTTTTTAATGTTTAGAACCACATTTATGCTATTTCTGGAAATGATGTAATCTCAAATTATAATCCCACCACAAAGGAAAAGGTGAAAAAACGCTCTTGTTGTTTATCAGACACTAGTCTAAGCATTTTACATATCTTGACTCATATAATCCTGATAAAAACATGAGGTAGATACTTTTATTCCGATTTGGCAGATAAGAAAACTGAAGCCCAGAGAGATTAAATGATTTATTCAAGGCCATATAGCTAATAAATGCTGGAACCAGGATTTTAATCTGGGTAGTCTGGAGGAACAAAAATCATACTTAATCAGTTTTTTGAAGTAAGAAATCCTGTTTCTTTGTTACTAGTTGGGGCAATAAAATAATGTAAACCTTAGGGGAAGAAGAGTCTTATGTAGAGTTTTGTGAGCAATTGTAATTTAAAACATTGTCGCATACTTTTAACCCTTTCTGATTAAGCTTACATGTTTTTCCCCTAAACCTGCAGGAATATCGAAAACAGAAAAAAAAGTGAAATTGGAAGAAAAAAGCTCAACAGCATTTGGTATGAACAGAAAGTAATCTTTAAGCAAAAGACTATAGATGGCTTGACAGTGGGAGGACGTAGTCTGTCCTCACTTTACCTGTTAGTGCTCCTTAGGTGTAAGTCATCATCTGTTTTAGTATTTATTAGTGTTACTCAGCTCCAGATATGTGATTTCTTAATACATATCCTGTGGTATTATGTGTATTTTTTGTCAAGGGAGTCTAAGACTTTCTGTGAGAACTTTGTGTTTCTGAACATCTTTAAAATGGCTATTTAAAAATAAGCTGCCATTTAATATTGTTAAGACTTAGAGATGGATGATAAATTAGTCATTTTTTTCCAGACTTTCTTCTTCAACCTACCTTATAAAAAAGTTACTAAGTTTTCTGCTATTTTTTCTATTTTCTGTGCTGTAATACTAAAAGTTTTGGAATAATGGATCTTGGGTATTCAATGGTCTTGAATATTCTACAGATTAGCTTACTGGAGCTTGGGTCACTGAAAGTTGGTTAAATATGGTTGATAAAAAAAAAATTGTAGGCTAAACCATTCTGAGTGGAACAGTAGTTGAATATATGTGATGAATTAATTTTAAATAAAATATTCTAGCATACTGCTTTAACATCCATTTATTTTCTTTAAAGTACATGTGATTGGGAAAAAGGAATGTTTTTTTGGTGAAAAATTGGTTTAATAAGATAATTGTTTTTCCTTGTGTTCTTAGCCTTCACTTTGTACACACTGGACGTATTGAAAGACTGAAGGAATTATTTATGGATTGATTTAATTTTTTTACTGTTCCAAAGAAAAAGTTCAAGTTTTTTTGTTTTTGTTTTTTAATCTTCTAATATATTTTCTCACTAAATTATATATGGAAATGCTGTCTCCTCAGTCATCTTTAAATTATGGAGTTTACTTCTTTCCACATCAGGAAACTGAGTTATATTACTCATTTAAAGATTTTAACTACTGTCTGTGTTAACTTGAAGGTGTCAGGAGTTGGGATTTCTCAACACTGCTAATGAAGATCCCCTCTTATAGTCCAGTAAACTAATCAGGAGTTCCAGAATCATGACAGGAACAGTTTAATTGAATCCATCCACTCTGGGCAGGTGACTGGAATAGCTGATTAAAAGCATAAATGCTGCTTTTAGGTTAACCACAAAGGAACAACTCAGGATCAGTTATGATTACTAACTTACTCCCTTTTGTCATTTAGGTAAGAGAAAAGAAAAGGATAAGGAAAGAAAAGAGAAGAGAGACAAAGATCACTACAAACCAAAACAGAAGAAGAAGAAGAAAAAGAAAAAGAAATCTAAGCAGCATGGTAAGTATGCTAAAATGGTGATTCTCATTTTTTAAAATTCTAAGATTCTTGCAACTTTTTTCTTTTAACAAAAGGGAGGTATGACAAGATCCCCATGTTGTTAAGAACTGAGAAGTTTTTGTAGCTTTCCTTTGTCTTGCTAATTTTGAAAATATGCAACTCCGTTATACTAAGGTCTGTAAATTAATCCTTTCAACTGATTAGAGACTTTCGTTTCCAGAGTTGTGGTGGACCAGGTACCCTGACCGAGCACCGTTCAGTGGACTGAAGAAGTTATTCTCAATCTAAAATTTTATAGCTCCTTGAATTAGCTTTCAAAAATGAGGGTGAAATAAAGATGTTTTTAGAAAAACTTGAAAAAAACGAAATGATTTTTCTATCAATAGCCTATCTCTAAAAGTTATCCTAATCCTGTACTTGAAGGCAGAAAGAAAGTGATGACAAAAGAAAGGTTTGAGATGTCAGAAGAAATGATGAGCAAAGAAAGTGTAAATATGTGGATAAACCTAAACATTGATTATATAAATCAATTTGAACTTTGGGGAAAAATAAAACTAAATGGTATAAAACAAAAATATGGAACAATAGTAGCTTGTAAATTGAGAGGGGCGTACCTGTATTTTAGTGTTTTTAAAGTCTTGTACTGTTTTGGAAGAGTAAATGAAATTTATTGCTTTTAGACTCTGAGTAGTTAAATCTGTATTTTATAATTTCTAACATGAATACTGAAAGAATAGAAGCATAGGGTATAATTTCCAAAGTACAGGAGAAAAAAATCTGATGAAAAAACTGTCCAAAAGAAGGCAATAAAAAGAGAAAAACATAGAAAAGAAGAAAAATACAAATTACAAAATAAGATATTAGAAATAAATGTAAATGTATCAGTAATTATACCTATATGAGAGAGATTATCATAGTAGATTTTAAAAATCCAGTTATAGGTTATTTTCAAGAGACAAATACAAATATAAGGATGGAGAAGACAGAGCAATGTTGGGAATAAAAATATGGAAAAAATATGGTGAACAAATGCTAACCAAAATGAAAGTTGGAGTAGCTATATTTATATCAGATAAAATAGTCATTACGGTAAAAATCATCCCTAAAGATAGGACGTTACCATATAATCATAAAGGTTTGATTCACTTTATATCTTCCTAGATATAAAATTTCATTCTTAACAATTAATAAATTTATCTTTCTTAGTAATTAATAAATTAACAGAACTCAAAAGTATATTCTGAAGGGATAAGAAGATGGCAGCAGCCCAGTCGATGTAATAGACCTGTCCAGGACACTGAGCTCAGCCGCTGCACAATAGACCGTTTTCTTGAACAGACACCAGCATTTATTCAAACTGCCCACGGCATGCAGCTGTAAGCAAATCTCAACACATTTTAAAGATTAGTGTAATACAGACCATGGTTTCTGACTATAATATAGTTAACTAAAATCAGGATTAAAAAGATAAATAGAAAAACCCCATATGTTTAAAAATCAAGCAACACATTTTTAAATAACTCATGGATCAAAGAACAGTACCAAAGGGAAAGTAAATAAAATGTTAAGAACCTGAAAGATGATGAAAATATTCTACATCACAACTTGAGAATGTAGTTGAATGGCACTTAGAAGAATATATATTGCCATACATGTTTATATTAGAAAAGAACACTGAGAATCAGCTAAGCCTCTAGCTTAAGAAGTTAGAAAAGAACATGTCCAAAAAAAGTAGAAGTAAATAATAAACACATGAGTGGAAATTAATGAACTAAAAAAAAAAATGCTAGGAAGAAATTTAAAAATGCCAAAATTAATTCTTTGTAAAAAACTAATAAAATCAGCAAACCTCTGGAAAGACCGATTAAGAAAAAAAACACAAAATGCACATTTGTTTATTTAAACAATATTAGGAATAAAGGGAACGTAACTACAGATGCTTTAGACATAAAAAGAAGATAATGTAAACAACTTTATGCAATGACCTTTAAAGGTGAGATGAAGGTATGGACACTTGCCAGAAACCAAACTCACTTAAGGAGATAAAAACCTGAGTAGTCATTAAAAGAAATTTAATCAGTATTTTAAAATCTTCCCACAAAGATAAAGCCCTGGTCCAAAAAGTTTTGCTCCCAACTTCTACCAAACATTAAAGGAGCAGATTATTCCAAACTTACGTAAATTATTTCAAAATTTAGAAACAGAGGGAACACTCCTATAGTGGGGTGAATAGTATCCCCCCGAAATATATGTCCAACTCCTAACCCCTATACATGTGAATGTGACTGAGTTTGGATATGGGATCTTTGCCGCTGTGATTAAGAATGAGACCGTCTGGGATTGAGGGTGGACCCTGAAGGCAATGGCTGGTCTCATAAGAGAGTGGAGGGGAGATTTGAGATACCCAGGGAGAAGGCCCTGTGGAGACACCGGCAAGGTTGAAGTGATGAAGCCCCAAACCAAGGGGCCACCAGAAGCTGCGAGGGGCAAGGAAAGATTTGCTCTTAAAGCCTCCAGAGGGTGATGGCTCTGTCCACACCTTATTTTGGACTTCTGGCCTTCAGAACTGTGAGAGAATACGTTTCTGTTGTTTTAATCCACCGAATTTGTTGGGGGCAGCCCTAGGAAATGAATACAACTCCAAATTCATTTTAGATGATTAAATAACTTTCCTTTCAAAATCAGAAGAGAACAATATGGCAAAGGACAATCGCAGGCTCTTTTCATTTGTGGACATAGATGCAAAACCCATAAGCATATGTTATGGAGTTAAATCCAGTAATGTGTAAGAAAATATGACCACATAGGATTGGCATGCAAAGTTGGTTTGACATTAGAAAATCATTAAATTCACCACAGTAACAGGTGAAGGAGAACAAACATTACTACCTCTATAAATGTGGAAAAACCATTTGATACATCCATGTGTACTTACATTTGAAAAAACAACTATGAATATGTGATTATAAAACCTTAGAAACGTTAAAGGCCTAAATAAATGGGAGGGAATTCATGTTCATGGGTTAGTAGATCAGTATTGAAAAGTTGTCATTTCATGCTAAGTAAGTCTATAGATTCAATGCTAATTCTGCAACTTCGTATGGAAGAGTAAAGAGCCAAAAATAATACAATCATTCTTGAAGAAGAATAAGGTGAAGAATTAATATTCAGCTATAGTTATTAAGGCATCAAGATATTTTGGAAGAATAGACGTATTAAGACAAGATAATCCAAAGCAGATCTATACATATTTCAAAACTTGGTTTATACAAAGCTGGTATCTTAGATTAGTGGGTAAAGGATGTACTTTTCAGTAAATGGTATTAGAACAATTTATAATCCATATAGGAAAGAAAAATGAAATTGGACTTCTACTTTACACCATACACAAAAATCCATTCCAGGTTGACTAAAGACTGTGTGAAAGACAAAACTAGAAAACTTTGAATGACAGTATAGGAAAACATCTTTATGATCTGTGGGCAGGGAAGGATTTCTAAACAAAAAGTGCTAACCCTAAGGGAAAAGGTAGAAAATTTGACTAGACTGCAATTAAGAACTTTGGTTCATCAAAAACATTATAAAGAGAGTGAAAACACAACCAAATCATAAGAAGATACTTGCAACTCATATGTCTGACAAAGGATTGGTATTCAGAATATATCTCAAACTCCTACAAATCAAAAACAAAAATGAAGATAACCTGATATGAAGATGGGCAAGATTTTAACAGGTACTTTGCAGAAGCAGAAACCTTAAGATGATAAGATGAATACATAATATGATGCTCAATCTTTGAGAACTGGGTAAATGCAATTTTAAAAACCTAGTGAAATATACTTCATACCTGCCATAAAGGCAAAAATTAGGAGGTGGGTAATATTAGAGGTTGCCGAGGAGATGGAGACAACTATACAGCTACTGTGGAAAGCAGTCGGGCATCAGCGAGTGAAGGTGGAGACCTAAAATTGCTAACTAAACTCACGTGATACATCAGGAGGCAGATAGAAGAAAGTTCAGAGCAGCGCTGGAATCAGCCCAGATGTCCATCAGAAGTCACATATCCATTCAGTGGAATCCATGTCACTGTGTAAATAAATGAATTACATCCACAGGAATCTCAGGAATAAAATGATAAGCTAAAAATCGAAGCAACGAAGAAAACATGTAGGGGCCGGCCCGGTGGCGCAAGCGGTTAAGTGCGCGTGCTCCGCTGCTGTGGCGGCCCGGGGTTCGCCGGTCCAGATCCCAGGCGCGCACCGACACACCACTTGGCAAGCCATGCTGTGGTGGGGTCCCATGAAAAGTGGAGGAAGATGGGCACGGATGTTAGCGCAGGGCCAGTCTTCCTCAGCAAAAAAAAAAGAGGATGATTGGCAGATGTTAGCACAGGGCTGATCTTCCTGACACACACAAAAAAAGAAAACATGTAATATGATTTCATTTATGTAAATGTCAAGAAGTTGTAATCCTGAACAGTGTATTCTTTAGAAATTCAACTGTATGGAGTAAAAGTGTAAAGAAAAGCAAGAGAAGGATGAACAAAAACTCAGGATACTGGTCACCTCGGAGGTGGGGAAGGGAATTTATCACTTCGCTTCAGAAATGATAATAGTATTCTTTTAGACTGCATGATGGGTACTTAAGTATTTTGTGGTATTGATATGCTTTATGTCGTACCCATTTTTTTTTTTTCATATTCATTAAACACTTAAAAAAGCCAGTTTTAAAAAATACAAAGCCAACTGGGTAATTTCATCGTTAGTAATCATTGTTGGTAAATTCTTCAGATTTTAGCTCTGTCTATAGGCCAAAAATAACATCTAATTTTTCCACAGGGTGTGATGTTTTTACATTCTCTAACTCTAAAGCTGCCAGAGTAAATTTTAATATAGATGTAGGATCAAAATGGGATTGAAAAGCTTGAAACCACTTTCCAGAGAGTGTCTTGAACATTTCCAGGCACTCTTGTGTCTGTGTTGCCCTTCACTCCTCTCCCC